CCTTGATAGAAGACTTTCCCAATACTATATGTTTTCAGAATGTTATGTATGCATCTCCAGATTTTCAAACTATTTTAAAGGCATTAGATAAAAATAGGCCCCAGGATTCTATGAGGTATCAATTGACATGTTCCATCCAACAGATACAGCCCTGGATATGCTCACATGTCAGTGCCAGGAAATTTGGAAGCTAATATCACATGTAAGCAAGAAAAAGATTATAAAAAAAAAAAAAGATTTTTCAAAAACTATTAGGGCATTGGCAGAGAACTGCCAGAAGTTGAAGCTGGGTTTAGAAGAGGCTGTAGAACCAGGCATATCATATCTGATGTCACATGGATCTTTACTGTAAGTAGATGTCAGAAGAATGTCTTCATATTTTATTGACTTTTGTTGATGTGTACCGTAGACTCAAACTTGACTCATAGCTGACACTTCGACAGGTTTTCAGAGGCAGTTAATCGCGTGGGAGGAAATTGCCTATCCTTCTGCAGAGCAGCTGGTGGCCTCGAACCTTGTGCTTTTGAGAGTGAAGTGCAGTTTCTTGCAACTAGGCCACCAGAGCTTGCATTTGACTGTATAAATCATAACTAACTATAGCTAACATTTAGAAGAATGAGAATTCCAGAACACTTAATTATGCTTATATGAAACCTATTTCTAGACCAAGAAACTGTTATGCAAAAATAACAAGGGAACACTGCATGTTTTACAGTCAGTAATGTTGTGCATCAGGGTTGTATTCTCTCTCTCTCTCTACCTATTCAATTAGACTTTATGAAGAAGAGTGTGGCATCAGAATTAGAGAAAGGTTCATCAGTAACCGGCATTATGCAGATAACCCAATTGCTTGATGAAAGCTAGGAGGACTTGAGTCATTTGCTGCAAAGGATCAGGGCCTGCAGCCTTTAGTAAGGATTACATCTCAACATCAAGAAGACTGAAACCTTACCCCTGGCCAATGGGCAACATCATGATATCTAGAGAGAATCAGAATTGTCAGTAATTTCATCTTGCTTGGATACCAGCAGTCAGAAGATTTGGAGACCTCTAGAATTAGTGAGTTAGTTACTGAAATAGCCCTAGTGGCATAGTGTGTAATATGTTGAGCTATTTACGAAAAGTTTAGCGATTCAATCCACCACCTGCTGAGGAAAGAAGCTGAGCAGTATCCACCTGTAAAGATTCACAAACTCAATAGAGAACCACTCAAATTGACTCAACTCCAAGGCAATAGGAATACTACATATTCAACATGTTTATGATATCACTTTCTTCTAGCTTCTTGTAAATTAAGCTCTTCTCAGACATTTCTCAGAACATATAATTGTGCTCATAGGGAACCTTGGTTAAGAAGCAATTGGCCAAATAGAGCAAAGAAACACTGCATGGTTTGAAATCAGGAATGGTGTCAAGGTTGTATCCTTCTTCTCTTAACTCTATTCTGCCTATAAGCTGAACATATGAAGAAAGTAGAATATATGGAGAAGAATATAGTAACTGGAGCAGAAGAAGACTCATAAGTGACCTATGCTATGCAGGTGACCCAATCTTGCTTTCAGAAAGAGAAGATGACATGAAGCATTTACTGCAGAAGATCCAAGATTGCAGCTTTCACTGTGGGTTACATCTCAACATCAAGAAAACAAAATTCTTCACCACTGGACTGGTAGAAGGATTGAATTTGTCAACAATTTCCCTTTTACTTGGATCCACCAGTAACACATATGGTAACAGTAATCCGGAATTTAAAAAATTACATTGCTTTGGGAAAATCTACTGTGAAGGCCCTCTTCAAAATGCTAAAGAGCATTGATGTCATTTTAAGACTAAGATGTGCCTTATCCAAGCTATAGTGTTGTGGAGTTTTTTTCCCCCAGTTGCTTCTTATGTATTTGAAAGTTGTTTAGTGAATAAGAATGACACAAGAACCATCAATGCCTTTGAATTGTGGGACTGAATATCACTGACTTCCAGAACACAAACAATTGTATCTTGGCAGAAATGTAGCCTGCTCCTTAGATACAAGATTGATGAGACTTCATCTCACATCCTTCAAACATGCTGTCAGGAGGGTCAGTCTTTGGGAAAAGATCTCACTTGGGGAAAGGCAGAGGGTCTTCTGGGAAAGGAAGAGAGGAAGACCCCTTCACAAGATGGATTGACACAGTGGTTGTAAGAGTATGCTGAAGTCTATCAGAGATGACAAAAACAGCACTGGAGAGGGCAAAATTTAGATCTGCTGTTCATACTTTTGCTTATAGTCTTAATCAACTCGATGACAACATAACAACAGAGAATTACTCTGTGGTTGGATGGTGTATTCCATGAGGAGTTGTGCTGCTAACTCAAAGCTGGCATCTCTCTGACAGTTTGAATTCACCAGCCACTCAGTGGGAGAAAGGCAATATCTTCCCATGAGATTCACAGTTCTCCCAAGAATCTGGTGGCTCAGACTGGACAGTAGTGGGAAAGAAAGCACGTGTGCATGAGCACTTCTGGGATAGTCATATGTCCGTGTTAAAAGATTCCATCAGTGGGTATATACCACCCAACCGGTAATTTTTACAATACTGTGCAACTTTTTACTTGACAACTTCTTTAATCTCAAGACCCTCCATGTATGGCTTCTAGTTGTGCCTTTTGTTAGATGTAAAATGTCTTTCTTAGCTATTGTATTATTTGAAGCATCAAAGATTACTTCTATGTATGGTGATTCACTTGCGTTCTTTATGGTTGAAACTGTGTAAAGTCTGCCATCTCTTTCCTATGTCACTTTGTTTTCTTTACCTTTTCCATCCTCTTTTCTCTATTACTTTTTTTTATTCTCCCAGTTAATCATTACCTGCCAGCAAATGTTTATCCAAAGCCAAGTTCTGTTCTGGGTACCATGCAGCATCTCCATCTTTCAAGAACCAAAAATAACTAAAATACCAACTTTTCCTTTGGTATATGTATTGCTGTAAACATTCCCAACACAAGTGAATTGTCTATTAAAAATTAGGAGACCATAACCAAATCAGACATTTCCAGTGACTTTATTTTTTTGTCGATCAGATAACTTTAGGGAGCCCTGCTAACCCAAAGTCACCTCTCTCTGGTGGTTCAAATCCACAAGTGGCTCCATGGGAAAAAGAAGAGGAAGCACCTTCTGTGCAATTGACAGCCTGTAAAAACTCTCTGGACTGTCAGCTTTGAGTTGGTTCCCACTCAATGACAGTGAGTTTGAGTTTAAGGCAAACTTTATGATCTGAAGATTTAAATATCTAAAACTATTGTTTATCAAGCAATTTACGTTTGAAATAGAAAATTGTGGCAGTGTTTAAATATATTTATGTAGACCGTTGGCCTTTTCAGTTTTAGTCTGCAGGGAGCTCTGGTGGCCTACTGGTAAAGAATTGCATTGCCAAGCCAAAGGCACACTGTTCCAATCTACCAGATGCTCCATGGGAGATAGAGCGGCAGTCTCCTCCTATGTGATTTACAACCTTCAAATACTGGCTGGAGAGTCAGCTCTTAGAAGGTTCTCTTTTGATGGGAACATTTGCCTGCAGGTCTAAGATTTTCCCATTCATAATGAAATAGGTCCAGTTGTGTTTCTGACATCACTCAGACTAGAAAAAGATTACTGACTTGTTTTTTATGCTCAATTGCTATTTTAAAGAACATTATGATATTATTAAGACTTCCAGATGTCAAAAGCTTCATTTATATGCTAATTTGTGGTTATAGTGATCAGTATGATTCACATTAGGTGGAAAGTCAGTGTGGTTGAAAGGGCCACTGACTGCCTAATTCATTATCCAAATTCTGAGCCTCGATCGGCTTTGGTAAATTGGTGAGACAGGCTTGTTAGATTAGCTTGTTACCACTATCCCAGAGTCTATAAATGGAGAATTTGTAAAGTGCAATGTTAATCTTAATCTAACTAACTAGGATACCTGTATTAATATAATTAATTGTTTTATTTCTTTAATTAACTTGTAGATCCATAATTAAATGATCAGTGTGGCACTTCTAGCAAGATTTTATATGCAGTGTCTTGCTTGGATTTTTCAACTGCAAAATTGAAGCAGGCCTGGGAGTTAGGAACCATAGAAATTAATTTTAATTGATTCCATTCCTTAAAATATAATGGCTTGCAAATTAACTCCTTATAATAAATATGGTTCAGATTTCTCTCTGTGTTTTTTAAAATATGTTTAGCTTTTGAGGCATGAGAGTCATTTTGAGAAATTTTTTTAATAAAAGAAAGCTTCATTCTACAAGGAAAAAGTTTTGTTTACATCAGAGATTTGTTTGTTTTTTGGGGGGGTTCCCCCATAACAATATAATAGCTTTATTTCTTGGTTGTATTTTAAATTATTAAAATGTATAAAAGTAGATAATGTTATCATTTAGTATCAAAATATACAAAACTAAATCCACTACTATCCATAGATTTGGTTATGAATAATAACCAAATAACAACCAGTGATTTTCTGAAGCTGCCTATCTTTAAGAGAGATTATTCATCCAAGCCCTGGGTGGATTTGAATCACCAGCATTTCATTTAGCAGCCCACCTCTATCAAAAGCATAATTAAATGTTGTTTCTCAAAATATAATGTTTCTCAAAACCCTAGCTTAATATACTGTTCTAAAGCAACGCAGAATTCTTAAAAGTTGTTTTCTTTAAAGAAGTTTATTCACATCCATGTATAGCAGTTTTGAAGAATAAGAATTAAAATTATAAAACAAAGTATTTACCAAAAATATTCAGAATTGACTCCATAGAAAAGCAAAATTGTTTGGACTAGCTTATTGTCAAGTTAGAACTGACCCTTCAGCAGGTTTTCAGAGGAAGTAAACCACAGGGGAGTATTACCCATTCTCCCATAGAGCAGCTGGTGCATTTGAACCATGTGCTTTTGGGTTACCAGTGTAATGCCTTACCACAAGGCGACTAAATCACCTTAATAATTGTATAAGTAAAATCTACTTGCGTTTTCTTTGTTGTAGGTCTCTTGTTGCTAATCTTGCTGCTGCCAATTGTTACAAAAAAGAAAAACATCTTGACCTGGAGAAAAACTGGCTGTTGGTGGAAAAAGCAAGGGTTTTTTATATAGCAGTAAGTATTTCTGACACATGTTGACATTATTTAGTTGTTAACTGATGTAAATTTTAATGTTTTTCTTATTTTATTTGACTATAAGGTACAGAAATATGGCTATTTTATTATGCCATAATTTTTATTATTTGTCTTATCTTTTGGATGTATTATAGATAGATACTTCTAAGCCCAGTATAAAATTCTATATTAGATTAGGTTCTTAACATTTTTTTAAGTAATTCTATAAATTTACATTTTACATATTTAAGCTACTTCTGTATGAATCATTCATTGTTGGGAAAAATATTATTAGCCTAAATATTCACTGCAGTTTGAGTTTATTTGTGCGGGGGGAAAATCTTAATTGCTATTTAGTCCCTAATAATTACCCTAACTCCTTTTATTTCATATTTTAGAAACATTAATCATGACAAATCTCTTAAGTCTGGGAATGAGGGTAGCATCTAATTTGAATTATTAATTCTTTTGACGTAAAAATAATTGGTTAAGAATTCATCTAAACAGAACTGTAGTAAAAATCCTTCAATCTTAATCACCCCGTGATGACTTTTATGAGATAAATGTAGATGATCACAAATAAGTAAATACCTGTGAAAAATTAAAAGTACTTCATAACTTACTGCTGTAGAACTTGATTATCCCTCACAGTGACCGTGTAGAAAAGAGTTGAGCTGCCCCACAGCTTTCAGTCTTTAAAGAAGCCAACTGCCACATAATTCTGCCTCTGACTGAGTTCAAACTGATGGCCTATCAGTTAGCAACCGTGTATTTTCGCTAGTACACCACTATAGCTCCTATGCATATAATATATGATTTTGGTATAATAGCTGCTGCCATTAAACTAGCTGAGTTGTGTGAAACAGCTGGTAAGAAGTGTAAAAAATTGATTATCCAGTAGGAACATGTTTATTGAAAATATAATTATTTCTTTCAGGCTAGTGTTAATGTCTCCTGCAACATATTTATGTGCACTGCTGTAGGCTTTACAAGGTTCTTATTGATTCCTCTGTATAGCAATCGCTATCCCGTTATAGCTGTCAAATAAAGGCTTACACTGAGAAGGCCATTTAAAGAAGAATCTTCTGCCACTATATAAGATAATCATTTCAATAATTTGAAGTATTTCCACTTTATTTTTAAAGTAGAGCCTGAGAGGTGGAGTGTGGGTATGTATGTTAACCTATTTGGGTTGGTATGTAAATCCCAGGTTGGATTTCTCTGTAAACAAGCTAAGTACAGGCTTACTTAGTACTGTCTATGTGGGAGTCTGTAGTGATTGCTTTCATGTGCGTTTCACCACATGTTTTTGGGTTTTTTCCTCAATTATCCTCAGATGCTCATTACCTTGATATCATATGAGTTTATGTTTTATCTCACAATAAATAATATTTCAAAAAGAGACTACGATAGTATGGGAAGTCATGGAAAAAATTAGAGTATTTCATTTTTCTAAGCTATGTATTTCCCTTAAAAATAAATATGTATTGATTAACTTCTGTGAAAAATGAAAAACTTAGCATTTACTACTTCACCTTGCCTCTTGGTATTTGGTTGTTTGTGTTTTTTACATTTTTAATATTTAAATATTTGTATTCTGTTTTCATTGCCATAATTTCTGGCATCCTAATTCTCTATTGAAAGGAAAGAAATGTTTATCAGTGTTTGTTACAGGTTTTCTACTCTTTTATTGTTTATTTTTTATTATCCCTTGAATGGCTATATTTTGTGACAGATTTTTTCTTTCCCAAGGAAAGGCAAAGAATAACAAATTAGAGTGACTATATAATGTACACTATCATTGCTATTTTGGAAGAATTGTATTATCTCCTACCAGGATTTGTATGATTTGAATGCTGTTAAAATAAGACATAATAAAGATTTATCAAATTATGTTAATTAAGTTTAAAATTTATAGGGTATCATTTGGTATTCCTAGCTTTTTCATGGAAAAGATTTAAGGTCTCCAGTAAAAGTGAGTGAATTTGCTTTGCAGTGGTAACCTAATGGAAACTAGAATAATGTAATACTAAAATGAAAGGAGCCGGGCTGCTTGAACTACTTCTCACCTTGCATTTTATCTTTGCTTGAAGTGCAGTTTTGAACTCCTAGGCAGTGTATTTTGAACTTCTACTATTTATATTGGCCAAATCAGCAAGGACTGTATGGCTTTATTCCTGCATTTTAAACCATCCTCTTCTGAACATGGGAGCATGGTGCCATGGTTTTTAACTCTTGTCTGCTAACCAAAAAGTTGGCAGTTCAAATTCATCACCCTCTCCACAGGAGAAAGGTAACACAGTTTGCTTCCACAGATTTATAGCTTTGGAAACCCTGTGGAGCAGGTTTGCTCTGCTCAGTCAAGTTTGAGTCAGAATTGACTACTTCATTAAACTGTGAATCATTAAGCCTTATTTGAAAATTCTTTGCAGGTGACTTTTTAACCACATTTATAAATTCACAGTAAAAACTGAGATGAAACAAGGGGTTGGTTGTTGGACCTGAAGTTCTTCATGTTTGTATACCTCCTGGTATACAATAATGCATTTGAATCTTTTTCATGTAAGGGGTTAGATTTTTATGTGCCAACTTGGCATCGCTTTAAAAAATTCTTTTTTGTAAATTCACATATGCTATAGAGATACAAGGAATGATTGATTCCAATTGCTTAAAGGTTTGTATTAATGCTCAATTTTTACTCCCCCTTGTCTTGAATTTCCATCTCTAATTGATGTTTGTTGATAATACAAATACTTCCTATTGGTATTTTAGTCTTAATAAGACATTCTTTGACTTTTCCTTCAGAGCTCTTACATTTAGAGTGATTGTAAATATGTATTTTTTTTTATTATTTTGGATGGCTATCAGGAGTGGCATCCACTTCCTAAACAACATGCCTCTGGAAACTCTCTGACTTTGATAAATGTCGATAGCTATAAAAAGGCTTCAGGCCTTCTTTCTGTTCACAGGGTTGCTGTGAGTCGTACCCAACTGCACAGCAATCAACAGCAACATCAAACCTAAAAAAAGAAAAAAGAGAGAGAACTCTTTAAGGATTATTAGAGCAATACTGTTTTTCTTTAAATAGGACAAGTTTTTTTTTTTTATACATGCTTAGAGGAAGTAATATTATTTAAAGAAACTTGGAGACCTAAAAGTAAAGATTGGTTATTTTTTATGCTGTGAACCTTGTGATGAAGTCTTGGGATATTATGTGAATTGGCGAATACACTATGTGATAATTGCCTTAAAATGGCAAAATAAACTTGTATAACACTTAGTTGTTAAGACAATAGCCTCTTGTACAGAGCCCCAAATAAATTAATCACCCACTGAAGTGTTTCCACTTCCACTTATTTTATGTATATATTTCAGACAAATCAAAAATTACTTAGAAAATGAAATGTTTATTAAACTCTTCCAATAAACATGAGTAAGAAATGGAAACTTTTATAAACATTATCATGGCAATATACATTTTTATATATGCTAGTTATCATATTGAAATTGTGTGTAAACTGGATGTAGTTAACTCCCTATAGAAATATACTTGGTTTCTGTAATATTTTACTGTATATAATCTAAAATCACATAGTTATATAATTTCTTCAATTTTTTTATCATTTATATCCATCTAGATAAATAAAATTTGTTATAATGTTTTTAAGAGGTTTTGTGAGATTTATGTATCGTAAAGTCTATATACGCCATTCAGTGATACATTTCAATGTTTTGTCATATATTTATATTTGTATACAACAGTGTGCAATTGATGTTTCTTAGTTTATTTATACAGTTCTGCAACCACCACTATAATTTGCATTGCTATGAAAAAGAAACATTTTACCCATAAGTATTTTTTTCTCTAAAGCCTTTAGATTTAATCAGACCTTCACATCACTAAAAATAATTTCAACAGTTTGCAGGTATTATGACTTAAAAATTATATAAAATTTCATAATTGGACAAATATTGAATTTATGTCTTTATTGATTGGCATAGGGAGCTTTGTGGTCTAGTGAACAAGGTATTGAACTGCCTATCCAAAGACATGCAGTTAGAATCCACCATTGGAAAAAGATAGGCAGTCTCCTATGTAGTTTGTTGTTGTATACTGCAGAATTGGAACCAACCGGTAGCTAACCCTCTGGAAGATTTTCAGAGGCAATTAATTGCACAGGAGGAGACTGCCCGTCTCTCTCCTGTGTAACAGCTGGTGCTTGTAAGCCATGTGCCTTCAGGATTGCAATGCAGCTTCTTGCCACTAGGCCACTGCCTCTGAAAATCCTCAGGAGCGTCAACTATGAGTAGGTTCAGTCCTGAGGGCACTGAGAATTGAAACAATTGTTTGACATAAGTAATGGCAGTCATAAGTCTACTTTGATGTCTTACTCTGAGCTATTTCTCTATTGCAGACACTCTAAAGATCTTACAAACTTTTGTTCTCTTTTATTTTTTCCTGATATAATAATAGGTTTTGAATTGTCAAAAAAAGTGACTTAGGAATCTTTTAGCTCTAGTCTCTTGAATCTATTATGTGGTTTCTTTCTACTCCTTGGAAATAACTTCTTAAAGCTCAGTAGAACTCTCCTAGACTTCCAAGACAGATTCTTATTGTCTTTTTCATGGACTTAGTCATGTGATAATTAGGGATATTAGCAAACTCTAATAGCTGAAATGTCTGACAGATAGATTGCTACTTTGCTGAACCACTTTCCTCGTGCCTTCTACACTGATTTTTGGCACAGGCTTTTCTTTAAATTGTGATGGGCCTTTTGTCTTTCCTGAATCTCTTTCCTCCTTTAACTTTACTGTCTTGGCTGTTCATTGGCACCTCTGTGATTGTTCATTGACACTTGCTCCTTGTTTTTTTGACGTAGTTATGTCCCACAGACCAAGTTATTGAGTGAAAATAAATATTACCCCAAAATGGTTGGTGATCACATCACCTTACCCCCTTCACCTGTCCTGTTTGCATATTGCCAGGTCCCTTCTGAGAT